GCTGCCCCGCCGCGCCGGCAGGGGGCGGGCGGGCCGCCGTCCGCCGCCGCGCGGGCCGCGCCGGGGGCCGCAGCCGGGCGGGGCGGAGCGGAGCTGGGGGCGCCCTCCGCCGCAACAGCGCCCCCTGCCGGACCGACGGCATCACCGCGCCCCGTCGGGGCGGCCCCGCAGAGCGCCCCCCCACCCCCACCCCGCGGCGTCGCGGCCCGGTGCGAAATGGCGGCCGGAGGGCGGCGTTGCCATGGAGACCGCCCCCCCCCTCCCCCAAATGTCGCTCGGCCCCCCGACATTTCCCCCTTCGCTTCTGCCCCGCGCCGCCGTCGGGGTTCCGTGGGAGATGCGGAGGTGGGGATTCGGCTCTGCCCGCGGGAGCGGCCAGCGGCCCCGGCCCCTTTGTCCCGTCCCGTTCCGCCCCGTCCGTCCTCTGGGATCTCCCTCCGTCTCGCCCCATCCCGCCCATCCCATCCCGCTGTGCTCCCCCCCACCCCACCCCATCCATCTCATTCCCATCCCACCGTGTCCCATTCAGTCTCACCTCCCCTTCCCCCCTTCCCCGTTAATTTCACCCTGCCCATCCTATCCCATCCCTTTCTATCCCATCCTCTTCCATCCTGTCCTGTCCCACGCTGTCCCATTATCTCACCCATCCCATCGTGTCCCATCCTGTATCATCCACCCAACCCATCGATCCTTTTCTGCCCTGTCCCATTCTGTCCTGTCCTCCTCATCCCATCCCATCCATCTACCCTGTTTTGTCCCAGCCTGCCTGTCCCATCCCATCCCACCCCATCCCATCTATACTCTGATCTCTCACACTATCTTGTCCCATCCCATCCATCCTATTGTGCTCTCATCCCATTCCAACACATCTGTACTGTCCCATCTTGTCTCATCTCTTTCCTTCCCATTCTATTCTACCATGTCCCCATCCCATCCCATCCCATCCCATCCATTCTCTCTGATCTCACATCCTGTCTTTTCCCATCCCATCTGATCACACCCCATCCTATCTCATCCACCCTTCCCCATCAATTCTACCCTACCCCATCCATCCCAGACCATCACATTCTGTCCCATCCCATTCCATCCCATCCTTTTCTCTCCCATGTTTTCACGTTCTCTCACCCCATCCCATCAGTCCCATCCCATCCATTTCCTTATATCCCATCCATTCTGTCCCATCTACCTCATCCTGCCCCCTCCCATCCATCCTCTCTGATCTCCCTGTCTTGACCCATCCCACCCATCCTGCTTTAATGTGCTTTCGTCCTCCCCATCCCATCCATCTTATTCCCATCCCACCGCGTCCCATCCTATTTCATCTACTTTGCCCCAATTCCATTCTGTCCCATTCCATCCTGCACCATCCTGTCCTGTCCCATGCTGTCACATTCTCTCACCCCATTCCATCCCACCCCAATCCATCTGTTCCATCCCATCCTATCCATCCCGCTCTGTCCCAGCTCATCCTATCTTATCCCTCCTCATCTCATCCCATCCCGTTCCATCCTGTCCTATTCTGTCATTACATCCCACCCCACTATATTCCATCCTTTCTTTCCCACTGTCTCACCCTATACTATTCTATTCCATCCCATCTTGTCACATCCTATCCAGCTCACATATCCCATCTCACCCATTCTGTCCCACGTGTCCCATCCTGTTCCATCCCATCCCATCCATACTGTGATCTCTCACACTACCTTGTCCCACTGCATCCATCCTGCTCTACTGTGCCTTCATCCCATCCATCTTATTCCCATCCCATCCCATCCCACGTGTCTCCTCCTGTTATCCCATCCCATCCACAATCTGATCTCTCACCATTTTGTCCCACCCCGTCCATACTGTGATCTTTCACACTCTCTCATCCCATCCCATCCATCCTGTCCCATCCTGCTCTTGTCCCCTCCATCTTACTCCCATCCCATCTACCCTACTCCATCAGTTCCACCCTGCCCCATCCCATCCTGGCACAGCTGTGTGCTCTCAGCCTCATCCAGGTCCCCAGTGTGGCACAAAGCCTTGTTCCTACTCCTGACTTTGGGGACCCCTGGCGTGGGCTGACAGTGAGGGGCAGCCATGACACCAGGCGTGAGGATGGGCACAATCCATTTGGGTTATGGAAAAAGGGAGGGGATGAGGGGGACGGGATGAGGCAGCGTCCCCTGCTGTGATGCTGAAATGGGGGCACCTGGGCTTTGGGACACGATGGCAGCAGGGACCCAGATTGGGAGCCCCAGCAGAGATGTGTTTGTATTTATTTATTGTATATATATTTGGTTTATATTTTTTGTGCCATTAGCAAACTATCATCAGCCACACAAGGCTGAGGACAAGGCCACCACTGCTGTCCCACGTCCCACTGCCAACCAGGAAGGATGGGAGCACGTTGCTCAACCCTGGGCCAGCGGGATGGGATGGCTGCCAGAGGCAGCAGGAGCTGGGCAGCTGCCCAGGAGTTGCTCCCGGGTGGGACAAGGAGGAAACGGAGCTTCCGCTGCAGCCAGTGCCAACACACAGCCTACAAGCACGGCGCTGGGACTGCCAGCCTGCAGCACTGCATCACAGGGAGAGGTGACCAACGTGCCAAGGGGACACATGGCAATGGGGCGGCCCAGTAGGGTGAAGTGGGGCACACAAAGAGGGGCAGTGCTGGAGCTCCAGCAGTGTTTATGCACCTCTGGTTGTGCCAGCAGTGTTTGTGCGCGGCGCAGCCCTCGCTTAGCTTGTGCAGCTCACTGGAGATGCAGGTAACGAGCGGCCAGGCGTGGGGCTGTGCACAGCCATCACTGAGAGAGGGGCAAACAGGGCTTCAATCACTCACCCGACACAGGCTTCAGAATGGGAACACTGTATTGACAGACTTTACAAAAGTTATTACAAAACACAACCACTAATCAGCAGCCAACGATACACAGCGGAAGAGACACTGCTCACAGTCACCTTGAGAACAACACCACTGAGTGCCAAATTCAACCGATATTTACAGAGACGTCAGAAAAACTCTGGTCAGTCACCGCATACATTTAAGTGTTTTAGATCCATGGTGAAATATAGTGCCACACGTTTCATTGTATAATAATAATAATAATAATAATAATAATTAATAATAACAACAATAACAACAACATCCTACTTCTACGTTAACTGAAAACCGAACAGCTCTTTACAGGGGTTAGGAGAAGTTCCTTTCACTTGTCTGACTTACCTGAGTGTGAGACCAAACCCAGTAATAAAATAACAGTAAAACCACCTTCGCCGACAGGAGTTCCTATGACAGACCAGCAGCACTGCTCCCTCAGGCCAGAGGGAAACACAGCCCGACTGGCGCGAGCAACGTCCTTCCAAAGCACAGAGACATCTCCTCTTCGGATCAGAGACCCGACCGCCTCCGTGCACCCACACCTGCTCTCCCAACTCCTCCTGCTCCAATGTCCTCAGCCCTTTCTCTTTCCCGTCCTTTCCTCCTCCGCCTTCTTTTTCTCACCTTGCACTTCGCTGCTCTCTCCTCTCTGCTTTTCTGCCTTCGACAAGTTCTGCGTCATGTCCCTAACCACGGCTCTGCTTCACCTCTGTCCCCTTGGTGGCAGCCCAGCCTGGTGGCACGGGGCTGCTGCTCGAGGTGCGTCACTGCAGCCGGAGCGGGCGGCCGGCGGCCCGGGAATGGCATCTTCCCTTCCTCCCTCGTCCAGCCTTGTGGTGAAACGAGCAGAAAAAGAATGAAAGCGAAAGCTTGTCACTCCTGAATATGCACAAAGATAGGTGGGGAAACACCTGCTAAATACAGATCCCCAGAGAATCTCTCAAGAGCATTCTCTACAGGCAAAATCCAAACCTGCGCAGGGGACAACTAATACGAGGCCTACGCTGCCAAGGAAGTCCCACGTAACCCCGCGGGGCTGAAGAGGTGCCCAGGCCTTCATATCAGAGTTTTTTTTTTTTAGAGGAATTCCTAAGATGCTTCAACAAAGCGGGCTTGGTAGCAAGACCACACGGATTAGCTGCGATACAAGTTCACCTCTCGTCATGCTGCACGTCCACCGGCTGAGACCGATCCATCACTGCGAGCCCTTCCGCCCCGGCCGCCCATCGCTACTGCTTGGTTTCTGTTTTCAAACAGAAGAGGCTCGTTTGAGTGGCCGACTCCAGGTTGTGCTGCAAGGCCTCCTCCATGGGCCGGGGGTTGCGGGAGTGGATTTTCTGGTGACAATTCAGCGACTCTTTGTAGCGGAAGTGCTTCCCGCAGACGGGACATTGGTACGGGGTCTCCCCGGTGTGGACACGCCAGTGCTTGAGCAGGTGGTCCCTGCGGATGAAGCTCTTCCCACACTCGGTGCATTGGTACGGCCGCTCCCCCGTGTGGATGCGCTGATGGCGGATGGCTTTGGAGAGGTCCCGGAAGTCCTTCCCGCAGTAGGTGCAGGTCAGCGGCCCGTCACCCTTCCCCGTATGGAGCTTCTGGTGCAAGATGAGGCTCACCTCCAGGCTGAAGCTCTCTTTGCACTGTGAGCAGGTGTAGGGTCTTTCCACCATGTTGTTCGGCCTGACAAAGCCGTACTTGAAACCGGAGCCCTTCTCTGAATTGGCGCGCTTGGACGGTCTGGAGCGTTGGCCTTTCGCAGAGGATTTGGATTTCTGCCTGAAGCTTTCCCCGGCTTCCAGAGAAGTGCAGGCTTCCTCGTCCATGTGCGCTCTCTGATGGGCTGCGAAGAGCTCCTTGTCCAGGAAGCTCTGCCCGCACTCGCAGCAGATGTACGGCCCCTCCTCTGCGGCCATTTCCTCAGGAGCTTCCTTCTTCGACAGTTCCCTCCCGCGGCGCGAGGAGCGCCTCAGCCCATTGCCCGCTGCACCTCTCTGCTGCGGGCCCGACCCGCTCCGATTCTTGCTGCTTGGCTTTAACTCTTCCTCTGGGTTTGAGAAAACATCATCCCACTTTCCCGCTAACGAGGCAGGAAGCTCAAGGCTGTCGGGGCTTTCCTCGTCACACTGCTGCGCATCTGACGGAGCAGAGACACTCATGTCATTTCTTTGAGATAAGAACGGCCTCATTATTTAGACTGCAGTTCTTTTGGGGCAGAGGTGATCTCTGCTTTGCACACTCAAGACAGTACCTGGCATGACAGGGCTGCAAGTCCCAATTGGGAGCTAAGCAGTACTGCAATACAAACAAAGCCAAAATATTTTGACTGACTGGGAAAGCTCAGAAGTGTGAAGGTGAGACCTCTCTGTACAGCTAGACAAAGGGAAGAAGTGGGTTTCTCAGTTGGAGATGAACCAGACCATGTCAGCATGTGGCACAGAATAAGGACAAAAACATAGAGGGAAGGGGAATAAAACTCTCTTCTTTTGGGGCCTGTACAGTGTTTGGACCTGAGGCTGACTGATCTCCCAGGGTAACTCAGAGCTCCTGCCAATGACCCCAGCAAGCAGGATGAAAAGAGCACAGAGGATCTGGAGCTACAGGAAAGAGGTCTGAAAAAAACACAGGTTTTCGCACTGCACAAAGATAAAGGCGTGCCCTCATTTGTGTGCACAGAGCAGACCGACCGCTCAGCATTCCCCACCACGGGGCTCTCCATTTTCTCATCACTTTGCCAAACACCTAAACGTGCAGCTTGAAAACAGGCTGACTGGTTTATATCAGGCTGAAATTTAAGACGAGCATCAGCTGGAGCAGCTCAGCTGCTTGTGAGAACAAGGCCAGGAAACCAAAGCCACGTCCTAGCAGGGTGCGCTTCCCCAAGCGGCTTCTGTGTTCCCATGCTTCAAAGCAGGGACGTGGAGGGACAGGCAGTGACAAGGAAGTGCCTTGTGATGCGCCACAAAAAAGCCTCACATTTGGCTGACAAATTAAAGCTGTGAAAAATATCACTTTACACATTCGTGGAAAAGTCTTGTAAGAACACTGCTGCTAAAGCCACTGAAGCTTGCCTGCTCGTTGCATGCTGCTGCCCCTCTCCACTTCCTAGCTGGCCAAACATGCTACCTCACTGAGCGAGCCAACACTGTGCAGGTGCCCTGCACCCCCAGCCAGCCCACAGCTGCTTTTACAGCCTGCCGCTCGTGTACCAGAGCTCCTTCTGCATGTGTGTCATCCATCTGCCACGGCTGTCATCCAGCTCCCATGCTGAGCCTGAGGCAAGCCTGGCAGAGACCGCAATGACGGCAGGGCCTCCTGCAGGGACAGGCCCCAACCAGAGCCAAAAGACTGAGAGCATCTCTAGCTGCCCCTCTGCCACTCTGTGCAGCACTCAGTGAAGCTCTGTGCTTCTAACTCACATGTATTGGGAGCCTCCATGCTCTCTTCTTCTTCCTCTTCTTCTTCTTCTTCAGAACCGTAGTGACTTTCAGCCAGGGTATCTTCGTATTTACTCCACGAGTTGTCATCGGGACCAGGGAAGAAAAACTCTGCACACAGGAGGAAGAACAATCTGAGTTTATGCTCACACCTTCCAGGTGCTTTACAGAGGGCTTCAGGACAGATGACAGCAGCAGCAAGGAGCTGGCTAGGAGACCAAAGCCACTCCTGCATTCACAGACAGTGCTGGCAATACTCATCAGCAGAAGCAAGAGGAAGAGCAGAAGCAGACTGTAGGAGCCGCATCTGCTTTCCATCACCTCACCGCAACCCAGAAACTTTATGTCTCACCGGTGCTGGGATCCGTAGGGGTTTCTCCTCCCTCAGAGTCATCCTGGTCCTCAGCATTGGGATCCTCTCCTTGCTCAATCCGTGACAGGAGGTCAGGTTTCGAAATTGCAGTATCTGTATGTTCAAAAAAGAAAAGGAAAAAAAAAAAGAATCAGAATGTTTCCTTTGTCCTTTCAGGGCAGAGAACCTTAAACCTTCACCCACCAACCTTCCTTCACTGCTGGGGAGGACGGGTAATGGAAAGAGACTTAAGAAGATGCTCTCACATGCCTGCACCGCTCACCTTGTCTGGGCTCTGGGACAATGAGCGGACTGCAGGAGCGCGCTCTGCTCAGGTGAGGAGCACCTCCCAGCCTGCAGGGCGAGGAGCAGAATAAGAAAATGCATCTGTGCTTACCTTCAGGCCTCCTCTCTTCTCCTCTGTGCTAAAGTCCGCGGATCCATTGCAATGGCAGCTTCAGCTTGGGGTCAGAACCAGAGCTGTCAGCCAGCGGCAGCAGTGGAGGTGCCCTCCCCACACGGTTCCCTCCAGCCCTGGATTGCCACAGCCAGAACCGTTCCTTCCTACTCGTCCGAGTCACAGGCTGCTTGTGGATTTTGGTGGGGGAAATGGGAAAATTAAAATTTCCCCTAGCATGGAGAGCGGAAACTTAATTTTGAAACAACAAGCGTGAGCCTCTGGGTATTAATTTCCACCACTGCTCTGCTGGATCCATTAGCCTTAACGAGGACCTAGCCTTAAACCCAATTAATCAAAACAAAAGGGAACCTTCAGATTAAGCACAGATACATTTTTCTAAGCTCCAGGCTCAGGCTCAGACCCACGGATCTCTTCCAATAGGACTTTTACGTTCCTGCACCCTCACAACAGGACTGTTGTTTACACAGGAGAATGGGGGTAATATTTATCCTTTGCCTTTTTCTCTTCTACACAGGAACTGTCCAAAAAATATTTATATTAAAAAAAAAAAAACAACATTGGAAAGACATGGATTGTACAGAATCGGAAGGCAGGATGGTTGTCTGCCAGGGATGTCTGCACTCCCACATGGATGTCCAGCCAAGGCAGCACCACTTCCCAAACTACACACAGGTGCCTGAAGCCCTCATGAGGGCTCCCAGAGGTGCAGCCCTGGGACTGGAAGACCCACAGTTGGGACTGGAAGGAGCCAGCAGGGCACATCTCTGCAGCACGGAAAAATCTGCCCTGAGCCATCAGAAGTGAAGCAGAAGGCTGAGACCTGCAGGAGCAGACGTTGCAATAATTTGCAGAAGAAGTGTTCTCCAGCACCAGGCTGGGGGTGAGGCAGAGCACCAAGGCAGACAAACTGTGCTCTCCTTCCCTAGCAAGCATTCTGCTGATGGAAGGGAAGATCTACAGACAAGCCTGGGAAGAACTGCTGGTACTCATCCGAAGCAGCAGCGAGCTGATGCACCCAGCATAGTACATCTGTGGACCTTTGCATCACCACGAAGCTCCCTTTTTGTCCAGAGCCTGTAAGTCCTCATAACCCAGGTCCTCTCATGGCTCCAGCTGGATGGCCAGAGACCATCAGAAAGGCAGAGTCACTGCACTGCTCAAAAAATCCATCCACTGCACAACTAACACAGTGAGGAGCAAAGTGCTGACTCCTGGAGCTGCTACCGAAACTCAGCATAAGACCTGGCTAGACTTGCTCACCACCCACCCTCCCAAATCCACCAGGCACAGCCTGGCCCTGGAGGACCTGTGATGCCAAAAAGCACAGGGCAAGCCCCTGCCAGCCTTTACCCATCGAGATCACGGCCTCGTAGTTGCCCTTCATGATATGCCTGTAAAGCTCTTTCTGCCACTCGTTCAAGTTCTTCCACTCGTCCTCCGAGAAGCTAAATGAAGTGTCGTTAAACGCCATGGGGACCTGCAATTAGAAGCACCACATATTCAGCTGTTTTCATGGAAAAGCTCAGGTGAGAAAGGACTCTAAGATCAACAAATTCCACCCACCCTGCCATGGGCTGGCTGCCCCACAGCTCGGGCTGCCCAGGGCCCAGCCATCGCCTCGGGCACCTCCAGGGCTGGGCACCACAGCTCTGGGCAGTGCCAGCACCTCATCACCTCTGGGTAAAGAATCACACCTAAATCTCCCCTCTTTTAGTTTAAAGCCATTCCCCCTTGTCCTGTAGCGATCTGCCCATATAAAAAGTCTCTTTTCCTCCCATTTATAAGCTCCATTATGTACTAGAAAGGCCACAATGAGGTCTCCCTGAAGCCTTTCTTCCCTCTAAGCTGAACACCCCCAGGCTCCTCAGCCCATCTTCATAGCAGAAGTGCTCCAACCTCTGAGCATCTTTGTGGCCTCTTCTGGATCCACTCCAAGAGCCTCTTGTTGAAAACATCTAAGGATGTTTTCTCATTCTAACCCCCACACACCTGGCTCGTGCCTTCAGCTCGGCTCTGTCAGCTCGGTGAAGGGATATGATGCTTTCCCCCACCACCTGCCTAAGCCTTGCCCCCCTATTCAATCTCCCCATGCTGCAGACAACGTATTTTGCACATCATACAACACAAGCTCTTTTCCTGCTCAATTTTGGACATAATTCTGCTGCAGTCTCCTCTGAACAAGAATTGGGAGTGAATGTGCAAATACGGGCAGGGATGTGGGGACGACCCATACCGTGTCCCTCTGCCTGACCCAAACAGCAACCCACCCACGTGCTGGGTCAAGCACCAGCAGCACATGCACAGGCGTGTGCAGCCACACAGAAGGACCTGTGCTGGTGTTCCCAACCAGCAGGTGAGCTGCGTGCTCATCATCCACAGTGGCTGGGGCCTGGAGCAACTGCCTTATGGGGAAAGGCTGAGATCCCTGGGGCTTTTCAGCCTGGAGAAGAGAAGGTTGAGAGAGGATCTCATCAATGCATATAAATGTTTAACGGGTAAGGGGAACGAGGCCAGGATTTTTTCAGCAGTGCTCAGCAACACAACAAGAGGCAATGGGCATAAATGGGAACATAGACACATATCTCTGCCTGATCAGGAGAGTTTCCGTAGTGTGAGGATGGCAGAGCCCTGGCACAGGCTGCCCAGACAGGTGGTGGAATCTCCTCTGGAGATATTCAAAACCCATTGGACACTTCCCCATGCATCCTGCTCTGGGTACCTGCATTACAGGGGGGTTGGACTGGGGGAGCTGCAGAGGTCTCTTTCAACTCCTACAGTTCTGGGAATCTGCATTGGAGAATCACAGAATCACAAGGTTGGAAACGACCTGCAAGATCATCTAGTCCAACCATCCAACTGTACTCCCATCACCACTGCTACCACAAGCACTAAACCAGATCTCTCAGCTCCTCATCCAGACGCCTCTTGAACACTGCAGGGACGGCGACTCCACCACCTCTCTGTGCTGCCATTCCAGTGCCTGACCACTCTCTGAGAGAAAAAGTTCTTCCTTATGTCTAACCTAAACTTCCTCTGGTACAACCTGTGGCCGAAGCACAAGCTCTGTATCACAATACAGAATCACTGAGGTTGGAAAAGACCTCTGGGATCGCCAAGTCCAACTCCGGCTCTTCACTACCACACTCACCAATCCACGTCCCACAGTGCCACATCCCCACAGTTCTTGAACACCCCCAAGGAAGATGACCCCTGGGCAGCTGTGCCAGAGCCCAACTGCTCTTCTGAAAAGAAATGGTTCCTAATATCCAACCTGATCCTTCCCTGGCACAACATGACAGGACCACAGAATGGCCTGGGTTGGAAAGGCCCACAGTGCTCATCCACTTCCAACCCCCTGCTGTGTGCAGGTCACCAACCAGCAGCCCAGGCTGCCCAGAGCCACATCCAGCCTGGCCTTGAATGCCTGCAGGGATGGGGCTTCCACAGCCTCCTTGGGCAACCTGTTCCAGTGCCTCACCACCCTCTGTGTGAAAAACTTCCTCCTCATATCTAGCCATGAACAGCCATGGTGTGATGCCATCACCTCTCATCCTATGGGGAGCAGAGGCTGACCCCACCTTGCCACCACCTCATAGGGGTGAGATGAGGTCTCTGACACAGCCCAGAGGTCTCTGACATGGCTCGTGGCCCCGTTACCTTGGGGACCTCCCCCTTGGCGCCGGGGGGCAGGCGCAGGATCCAGAAGTTCCTGTTCTTCAGCAGGTTCTCCATGTTCTCCAGCCTCTTCTGCAGCTGCCCGTACTCCTGGATGAGGGTGCCCAGGGCCGTCCATTTGCTCTCCAGCTGGTTGCCGAACTCCACAGCCGTCCTCTCGCAGCCGATCAGTTTGCTCTCGGCCATCCTCATCCTGCCCTCCAGGTTCATCAGCTGGGCCGCCTGCGCCTCCACCTTCCTGTCCACGGCCTGCACCTCCGTCACCAGCGTCACCGAGATCTCGGCGGCGGGCAGCTCGGCCTCCCCGCCGGACCCTTCCTCGGGGGCGGCCAAGGGTTGTTCGAGGGACAGCTCCTGGGGCTCCATGGCCCACTCCAGGTCCTGGGGGACGGACGGACACGGACACACGGACGTGGGCAGACGGGCCGGGCCCGCCGGACGGCTCCGCGGGGAGGGCGGAGGAGCGCGGGCGCGGAGCGGGGCGGGAAACGCTTACCTGAGCGGGGGCCCACTCGGCCATGGCCCTGCGAGAGCGGAGGAGCGGAGCGGAGCGGAACGGAGCGGGGCCGGGTGGAGCCGGGCGGGGCGGGGCGGGGCGGGGCGGCGGCGGCGGCGGTGCGGGCCCGGCGCCTCTCAGCAGCGGCGGAGCAGAGCGGCCATGGCGCGAGCGCGGTGCATGCTGGGAGAGGTGGGGCGGCGCCACAGCGACACCTGGCGGCCGGGAGGAGTCGGTGCGTGGCGGCGCGGCGCGACGGCGCGGCGGTGCGACAGAGCGGGGCTGTGACGGCGCGACGGTGCGACAGGGAGACAGCGTGAGCCGCGACAGTGCGACAGCCTGAGCGACAGCAGTGTGACAGTGCGGCAGCCTGAGCCGCAATAGTGCCACAGTGCCACAGTGCGTCAGTGTGACAGCCTGAGCTGCAGCAGTGCGACAGTGTGACAGTGCATCATTGCGATAGCCTGAGTTGCAACAATGCGGCACCGTGCCAGTGTGACAGCCTGAGCTGCAACTGTGTGATGGTGCAACCCTGCAGCAGTCTGAGCCACAACGCTGTGACAGCATAAAGTGCAACGCTGTGACAGCCTGAGCTGGAATAGTGCGACTGTGCGACAGAGCGACAGTGCGACAGTGTGAGCTGCAGCAGTGCTACGGTGCAGCAACGCAGTGCTGCAGCAGTCTGAGCTGCAACAGTGAGACAGTGCAACAGCACAACAGTCTGCAATGCAACACTGCAGCACTGCAACAGCGCAGTAGCGAAACAGCCTGTTCTGCAACAGCACAGCACTGCAACTCTGCAAGAGTGCAAGAGTCCCCGCCACAACTGTGCAACAGCGCAACAGCACAACTGCCTGTTCTCCAACAGTGCAAGCGTGCTGCAGCTTATGTTGCAACAGAGCAACGCTGCAGCAGTGCAACATCTGGTGCTGCAACCGTGCATCCAGCAGTGCAGTATGTAGCACTCCGACACACAGCATCACGTCGCTGTGCCCATGCTGCAACGCTGCAGTGCCGCATCGCTCAGTGCATTCAGCACAGCGATGCTGGACCTGCTGCGCTGCGTTCTGCAGCCATGCATCCAGCACTGCAGCTCTGTGCCCAGTCTGCAGCACTGCTCTCTTTGCCCAGTGCCGTGCTGTGCCCACTGCGCCGCTCCGACATCACCTCGCGTGGCTCTGATGTCATCACACGTTGCTGGCACGTCTTCTCACAGCACTGCCTCCATGTCAGCCCGACACTGTCGTGTCATTCCACGCTGCTGGGTCACACACACCGTTCTGACGTCATCCTGCGTGGCTGCGATGCGAACTCGCACCGCTCTGATGTCATTCTGCACCGCCCTCATGTCACTGCACACTGCTGATGTCATCCCACGCCGCTACAACGTGACCTCACGCCGCTGTGACGTCACCTCACATCATCCCACGCGGCGGATGTCACCCGCACCACTCTGACGTCACCCACGCCGCCGTGACGTCACACCTGACGTCACCGCCCATCACTGACATCACCCCGCGCGCGCTCTCCCGCCCGCCCGCTCCCCGGGGCTTTCCCCGCCTCTGATTGGCCGTCCGCAGCCAATCCGCGCGCGGAGCCCGGTGGCGGCGGCCCAATGGGGTGGCAGGAGAGGAGCGGGGTGGGGCGGGACTAAGCGCGCGCTCCCAGCGCCGGCAGCGGGGCCGCGCGGTGCGGAGCGGAGTGGTGCGGAGCGGTGCGGCCCCATGAAGGAGGAGCGGGAGCAGCTGGGCAGCCTCGGTAAGGCCCGGACCGACCGGGGATCCCCGACCCGAGCCCTGGGGACGGGGGCATTGTGCCCAATTGAAAGGTTTTGCCTCGAAAACGCTGTCGTGTCTCCGCAGGGCGCTGGCTGCGGGAGGACGGGCAGAGGGAGGAACCCAGCGCTGTGCCGGCGTGGGAGCGGCGCTGCGGCGGCCCCGGGCCGGGCCCCGGTGCGGGCGATGCGGGGCTGAGCCTCACCGAGAGTGCCGGGAGCCGGCCGGGGCCCGAGTGCTCCGAGTGCGGCCTCGGCGCCGCGCGGAGGACCGGGGCGGGGCCGCGGGCCGCTGCGGGGTCGCGGTCCGGCGCGGGGCAGCCGCCGGCGCGCGGCACGGCTGGGAGCTGCCCGTCCCGGTGCAGCGCCTGCGGCCGAGGCCCGGCCCTGGAGCCGTCGGCGCCCCGCAAGGAGCGCAAGGAGCTGTCGCTGACGGAGAAGGTGCGCGTGCTGGAGATGCTGGAAGGCCCCAAGGTGTCCCAGAGCGAGCTGGCCAAGCGCTTCGGCGTGTCGCAGCCGCAGATCTGCCGCATCATTAAGAACAAGGAGAGGATCCTGAGCGAGTGGCAGCGCAACGGCAACCCCGAGCGCAAGCGCAAGAGGGAGGGCAAGGAGGGAGCGGTGGAGGCTGCTCTGCTGCGGTGGGTGGAGGGCGCCCGCGCCGCCGAGCTGCCCGTCAGCAGCGCGCTGCTGCAGCTGAAGGCCAAGCACCTGGCCGAGGCGCTGGGCACGCCGGGCTTCGAGCCTGGCGGCAGCTGGCCGGCACGCTTCAAGCTGCGCCACAACGTCGCCCTCGAGAAGCCGGCGCAGGACGGCGGGGCTGAGCACCACGGCTCGCTGCCCGAGCTGCTGCGCAGCTACGCGCCCTCGGAGGTGTACAGCTGTGGGGAGACTGAGGTCCGGCTGAGAGCCGGCGGCGAGAGGCTGACGCTGCTGCTCTGCACCAACGCTGACGGCTCGGAGAAGGCGGCGCTGCGGGCGGTGGGACGCGCGGCCCGTCCCCTGTGCCTGCAGGGCGTCAGCCTGCAGCACATGCCGTGGGGTTACCGCGGGGGCGGCCGCCTGAGCGCCGCGCTGTTTGCCGAGTGGCTGCAGGACTTCAATGAGGAGATGCGGCGCAAGGGGAAGAGCGTCCTGCTGCTCGTCGAGGAGCGCGAGGAGCGCCCCTACCTCCAGCTGTCCAACGTCCGGATGGTCTTCATTCCTCCCGCGGCCGTGCTGGCACAGCCCCTGCACCGCGGCATCGCCAGGGACCTGAAGGGCCACTACCGGCGCCGGCTGCTGACCCAGATCCCAGCGGCGCGTGGCCCGGAGCCGCCCACCCTGCTGGACGCCCTGCACATGCTGGCACAAGCGTGGGGTGACGTGCGCCCGGGGCTCATCACCAGCTGTTTCCGTGCCGCCAGCTTCAGCCCCAATAGCTGCCCTGACGCGCTGCTGGCACCCATCTGGCTCGGCCAGGAGGAGCTGGAGAGCTTTGGGTTGATGGATGAGGGGCTGGAGCGCCTCGCGGATGCTGACACGGCCGAGGCAGAGGACTGGGACAGGGGCATGGAGGAGGGCGAGGATTCTGGGGAGCCGGTGGCGGTGCGGCCGTGCCCCTCAGAGCCTGAGGTGTGGGACAGCCTGGCCACGCTGCGGCGGTTCCTGGAATGCCGGGCCACCTCGCCGGACCTCTTGCAGACGTTCTACACGCTGCAGGACGCTGTGCACACGGTGTCAGCCGGGGCAGAGCCAGCACTGCTCGGGGACAGCCATCCCAAGCAGTGAGTGGGGTGGTGGCACCAGTGGGTGTCCCATCATGAGCAGAGCTTCTGCCAGCAGCAGCCATCGCCTCTGTGGAGCTGCGCTGCATATGATGGGGGTGGGAGAGGGGCAGGGGATGATGCCGCTGTGCTCGCTGGGCCAAACAAAGAAGCAGGGAGCTCCAGAGGTTGGCAACAGGCACATTAAAATTGAGCAAGTCAGCAAAGAACAGAGCGCTGGTGATTGTTGTCATTTAGCGTCGTTGCTTTCAGCGCAGCAATTAACAGAGGCGCTGCATGCCTCCAGGCTGGGGTTTTGCTGCCGACAGCAGCGGTGCCACCCTGGGCGTCCCATTGTCCCGTCCTCCCGGGCTGGGGACAGACCACACTGGTGGCACCCATGAGTGCCCTGGGAGCCCCCAGCACAGCCCCCTGCGATGTGTGCAGGAGCCCTCAGCCTAACACACCCCTGGGTACCTCCGGGGGTACCTTGTCCTCAGCACTGCCATCCTCTATGGCACCGTGTCCCCGGGTTGGGAAAGGACACGGGGACATCCGCCAGTTTGTGCGTATGATATGAGGGACCGGCTGGGGCTGGGGACAAGGCTGTGCCCACAGCTCCCAAAGGTGCCTCGTGCCCCCTCCTGCTGGGGCTCGGAGCTCCCTCGACGCAGGAGGATCTCTGCTGGCACCCGGGGTCGGTCTGATGCTACGGAGAGCACCAGGGCAAAGCAGGTACCTGTTGGGTTGTTGCCCCCTCAAAAGCAATGGCGCAGAGGGGACTGTGCGGGGGTCATGGGGTGTTTTGGGCAGGGGGTGCTCGCTGGGACACGGCTGGGAAGGGACACGTGGGAGGTGCTCAGGGCGGGGGGCACGTTGGGGTGCGGCGAGTGGGGGGGTGGGCAATGGGCCTGGTGGGGCGGGTGGGGGTGTCAATTCACCCAAAGGGGCGCTGGGCGGAGCCAAGGACAGCGTGTTTGGGGGGGCAGGATGGGCCTATTGGGGTGCACGGCGTGAGGGGGGGCACCCGTTGTGAGTCTGCCCGGGGGGAGGCAGCCCGCGGGGCTGTAAGTGAGCAGCACGAGGCGCGAGAAACGGGGATGCGCGGGGAGGGGAGCGGGGAGCGGGGAGCGGGCGGGAGCCGGGATCCCGGGAGCCGCACGGCGGAACCCGCAGCGCCCGCCCCCCGGCGCCGCCCCCCCCCGCCCGGCGCCGCCCCCCGCCCCGCGCAGCGCTACGCGGCGTCGTTCCGCGGCGCTGCCGGCAGGGGGCGCCCGAAGGCCGAGGCGCGCAGCCCCGCGCCGCGCCGCGCCGCTCGGAGGCGGAGGAAATGAAGGCGAGTTCCGCCGAGGCGGGAGCCATTACCCGCCGCCGACGGAGCTGAGCCCCGCCGAGCCCGGCTCCGCCGCTCCCCCCGCCGCTCCCCCCCGCCGCTCCCGGCCCGGCACAGGTAGGCGCCGCCGCCGCCCCGCCCCGCGATGGGGGCAGTTCGGCCCTGGGCCGGGCCCGGCGCCCGCCCGGAGGTGGGGGCGGGGGGTCGAGGGCACGCTCCGTTCCCGGCCCCTTTGTCCCCGG